TTTTTTTTGTTAATTTCCTTTATTGTCTTTTTGTTTGGATCCCTTTATTCATTTTTGTTTGCATTTTTTAATGGTTGTTGTGTTCAATTTTCTTGGGGATGAATAGAAAAAAGGGAAACAAGACTATTTTTTTTTTTCTTGTGAAGTATGGGATGAACTCTATATTTAGGTCATTTTAGGGGACGTTTTAATTGTTTTGTGTTTTGGCTTCTATAATACATTTTCTTATTTTGAATGGCTGGAAAATATTGATGAAATATGTTTGAATTTCTACTGTTTTCAATTTCTACTGTCTAACCTTTTTATTTTGATTGTTTTACTTTTAAAAAGCTTTTTATACGTTTTTCCCATTATCTTAAAAATTATATAGTCTTAGTGTAAGTGTGAATTACAAATGTTCACTGTTTTGGATTTAGTTATAAAAAATGAACTCTCTTTGAATTTTCTTTTGTTTTTTTTTTTTATTTTAAAATTTTCTAATCTATCACAAGCCCTCAACAAATGCATGTTCTTTAGTTACTTGCATTCTATTTCTGCACATAATTGAATTTTTTTAGTATCTCCATAAACAATAATATTAGTAATCATATTTGATGCCTTGCATTATCATGATAGTAAATGTTTTTAATTTATATAAGTATAAATAAATTTATGTAGACTATTAGTGTTCCAATTTATTAGTTGCTTTTCCCTATATACATGCATGGATGATTATGTTTACATGTTTTTATTATTCAATTTAGATTTGATTATGAGTGACGAGGAGATAAAAAATAATGCTCTTGCTGAAGTTGAAAGAATCCTTCAAAGCAATGGAAGAAGTCTTAAAGATTATCCTACCATGCCGGTTCCGACTGGAGTTTTATTGTCTAATGTGCATAACAAGTTGGTTTTGGATGAATTGTCTTATGATAGAGCTTCATTAATAAAGCAGCATGAAGAATATTTGTCTTGCCTTACTGCTGAGCAACGAAATGTTTATGATAGGATAATGACTGCAGCTTCTGATAATAAAGGAGGCCTATTTTTTTTATATGGATTTGGGGGAACGGGTAAGACTTTTATTTGGAAAACATTGTCAGCAGCTTTTCGATCAAAAGGAGAAATTGTGCTTAATGTTGCTTCAAGTGGTATTGCAGCCCTTTTGCTTCCTGGGGGAAGAACAGCTCATTCTAGATTTGCAATCCCAATTGAAATAAATGAAAAGTCTACTTGCAACATCAAAATGGACTCTCCTCAAGCTGAATTGTTGTCAAAGACAAGATTGATTATATGGGATGAAGCTCCAATGACACATAGATTCTGTTTTGAAGCATTGGACAGAACCATATCAGATATTTTGAAGTTCTCCAATAGTAATTGTTCTAAAGTACCATTTGGAGGGATAATTGTTGTTCTTGGAGGTGATTTTAGACAAATATTGCCAGTTGTTCCTTATGGTGGAAGACAAGAGATAGTGAAAGCGACAATAAATTCTTCAGATTTGTGGGATTCTTATGAAGTTTTGACTTTAACAAGAAATATGAGGCTGCAGCCAAGTTCTTTAAACCAAGATCTAACTGACTTGAGAGAATTTTCTGATTGGTTATTGAAGATTGGTAATGGAGAAGTTGGAGAGGATGTAGATGGTGAAGCGATCATTGAAATTCCAAATGAAATGTTGATTAAAGATTCAGAAAATGGGCTTGCTGATTTGGTAGACTTTGCATATCCAAATTTCTTGGAAAAAATTAAAACAAATGATCTTGCATTTTTCCAAGAACGTGCTATTTTGTCCCCAACTCTTAATGATGTTGCAATGTTGAATGATCACTTAATGTCTTTCATTCTTGGTGAAGAGAGAAGTTACTTGAGTTCAGACTCTATCTGCAAGGACGATATTAGCTTTCAAAATGATGAAGAGACCTACTCTCCTGAAGTATTAAATACATTCACAGGTTCTGGACTTCCAAATCATAAGCTGAATTTTAAAGTTGGGGTGCCAGTTATGCTGTTAAGGAATATTGATCAGTCAAATGGCTTATGCAATGGAACGAGATTGCTTATTACAAAAATGGGGAACCATGTTATTGAGGCTAAGATTCTTTCAGGCAACAACATAGGCCAAATTGTTCTAATCCCCCGAATGATCATGACGCCTTCCAATCACTCATTGCCAATTAAATTTCAACGAAGGCAATTTCCTCTGGTTAGGTGTTTTGCTATGACTATAAATAAAAGTCAAGGGCAAACTCTCTCTCATGTTGGAATATATCTTCCAAGGCCTATCTTTAGTCATGGACAATTGTATGTGGCTCTATCAAGAGTTAGGAGTAAACAAGGGTTGAAAATTTTGAGTTTAGATAATGAAGGTCAGATTTCAAACAAGACAACTAACATAGTATTTAAAGAAGTTTTCCATAGATTGGCATAGGTAAGAGAATTAAATTCTTAACACCTCCTATTGGACTTATCTTTTAGAAAGCTCTTTATTTATTTTTTCTTATTAATATAATTGAATTGATTGGTTTTTGTTGATGTAGGTCCTAAGGAATTCTTGCTATAGATTTCATATTCTAGAAGAGTTTTCACTTGATAGTGAAGTCCAGGTATGGACTCATTCATTTTGTGATGCTATTTCAATTCTCTCTTCTTTTTTTTTCTATAATAGCCAAAATAATTTTGTTAATGGGTACACTTGATTAAAATCAAGCCTGTAGCGAAAAAAGGGGAAAAAAAAAATTCTGTATTAGTAGTTTAAATTCAAACATTCATTTCATTCTCTAATTTTCACCATGATAACAACACCCCAAAATATGTATACTTTTTGCAGTTAAGAAGAGTGATAAACTTGAAAAAGCAACAGAAACCAAGCTCATGGATGCAACCACAAATGATGCAGAATCTTTAGATGCTATTATTGGAATTTTGACATGATCTTTTTTAACAGAAGCAATAGTAGGCACATTATTTATCTGTTGTTTTATCATTATATTTAATTAACATGCATCATTTCTATGTCTACTGTGTTTTCATTATTGAACATTTAAATTATTGCTTTTAAAATTAATGCATGATTTCAAACTCATTCAATTTCATTGTTCTGTAAATATTGATGAGCAATATCTTTCTATAGAGGCTATTGAAAATTTTCTACTCTGTTTGATGTCAAAGGCATTGTTTTTTTTTTTTTTTTGAACAGCAAAAAGTAATATTTATTAAAAATAGAGTACAAGAGATACCCCGAATCCATAAATATCTTAACTTGAAAGGCATAAAATTATAAGAACAGCCCTTTCTGATATATTAATACAAGAGCACTTCCAAATTGTTAAAAACTTTGACCTGCACTTTGTCGACACAGAATAAGGAACAGTGTTGGATGCTTGCTGTAAGGTGTTGACACCAAAATTATGGATCGACACCAAAATTATGGGTCGACACCACACCAGTGTCGGGTTTCTGTCCTCTTTTGCAATTTTTTAATGGTAAAATTGCACATCTGGTCCTCCAAATTTTATATAATGAGCATTTAGATCCCAAAACTAAATATCCATTCATTTAGGTCCACAAGATAACACCTTCCTTCTTGCAATTTGGGCCCTCAACTTTCAAAATATGTTCATTTAAACGCAAAACTCCTATTCTTATGCATTCACGTCTTTTTCTTTTCTACCGCCCTTATCTCAAACATACCTTTGGGTCTCTCATCCAATCTGTAAGTAGAATTGCCCAAC